CCGGGCTGTTCCCATTGTGGGAACAAAGCTCCCCTGTACAAGTCTCCTGTGGGTATTCCTCCTGGATATCAACCTCTAGTACCTGTGCCATTGCTGGCTCGGCGGGTACAGCATGTGTGACTCTGGCAGAAAGGCCACATGGCCCTTGAGTGGCGGCACCGCCTGCATCCGTACAGCAGGATGGGGTGCCAGGAGTCCACACCCTGGGGCTGGTGGCTGTGAGGCAGGGCAGCCAGATAGGTAAAGCCCGCCCACCGCATCAGAAGGACTGCAGATTGCTCCCAGTCTAGCGACCGACGCTCACAGGATGTGCCTGGTGGTAGGAACCTAGCCTCACCCCACCTGCTCCTGCTCCCTCTCCTCTTCACGCCAGCAGGTGGGACAGGCGAGGCAGCACCAGCTCTGATGTCAGGCGAAATCGCGTGGCTAGGTAGGCACTTGGCAGCTTTATTCCCTCTCTTCCCTGCCTGCCAGATGCCTGACTGACTCCAGCTGCGCCATGACCTTGTCCATAAATGGGGGAGCTGATGACAAGCACCCGGGGCAGGCGAGAAAATGGGTGGAAAGACCAGAAAAGTGAGCCCAGGGAAGAAACCTGTCAGTTAGGGAAGCTATTTTGCAAATAAACTTAAAAAAAAAAAAAATGTCTCCATTGATGATTTCAGAAAGAGGAAAGGAGAGGAAGAGAGGGAGAGAAACATCAATGAGGAGAGAAAATCGTTGATGGGCTGCCTCCTGTCCGCCCCTTATTGGAGATAGAGCCCATAAACCAGGCATGTGCCCAGACTGGGAATCGAACCTTGACCTCTTGGTTCACAGATGTCATGACACTCAACCACTGAGGACACAAGCCAAGCTACAAAGAGACGTTTGATCTTGTAATAGCCCCAACTTGCACAGAGTGTTAACAGAAGCTTCTAAGAGCCTCATTTTGTGACATTCACAGGAGTGTGTTCCCAGGTAATGATTTCCTTGTGCTCTCGCTGATGGCTTCTCAGAAGAGCCTGGGGAACAAGGACAGGAGCCGAGTCATCTCACTCTGGCCAGGATCTGAGACCATTTCTATCTGCCCCCCACCCCCACCCCCATGCACCGCAAAGTGGTCCGTTGGGGAAGTGGGAGGTGATGACAGGAAAAGAGGGGGGACAGGAAAAGAAGACAGGTCTTCAAAGCTCAAGAGCAAGTTTCCTTTAAAAAATAAAACAGACAGAGGGAGTGGCTAGTGTTTCGATGCCCGCTGTTTGGGTGGCCGCCATGAAAAAGAACGAAGAGTAGGGAATCCAAAAACTGGAAAGAAAAAAAGTAAACACTTTTTAATTGGCATGGGAGAGCATGTCCATTTCTTAGCACTGACCACGTTTCCTCTGTGGGGCGGTGAGGAACAAAGCTCCCGAGTACAAGTCCCCTGTAGGTATTTCTCCTGGGAGTAGCACTGCTGTACAAACCTCGGAACCATATATATATATATATATATATATATATATATATATATGTATATGATATTTTGTTTTATTATAAATATATATTTTTTATGTTTTATATATATAAATTTATATATATATAAATATATAAAACATAATATATTTTTTGTTTTATATAATTTTATATATAATTATACATAATATATAATATATATATTTTATAAGTAAAAATTTATATTTATATATAAATATATATTTTTATGTCTTATTCTTTTTAATGTGATTTTTATTGTTGATAATATTACAGATATGGCAAGCCAGCTAGGACAACCATGGAGTCTTTTAAAAGCGAGAGGACCAGGAGGGGATTAAGAAAATGTCTTTGGAAGGAGGAGAACCTCGTGCCCAGTGTGGAAATGCTCCCCACAGACCTTTCCTGAGGCAGACAGCCATGAGGAGCCTGTCCCCCACAGCCTTGGGACCCACCACTGGGTGCTTCAGCCAATGACAACGCGCTGGGGACCGGGGCTGGGCCACGCCCGCCTAGTGAACACCCCCTTCCCCAAGCCTTGCCCTGCGGTTCTCCAACAGCCTGGCCAGGACTTGCTCAGCCATCCTCCTGGCTCCCTGACCCTCTCAGAGGTGCCAGACCTGTGTCTGGTCCCAGCCGCGCCCCACCTGCTCCTGCTCCCTCTCCTCTTCATCCTTTGCAGGAAGCTCTCCCCGCAGACACCCTCCTGCACTTAAAACTTCACAGAGAACCCGAGTGACCAAGTGCCAGGGGTGACTGGCTGGAGTGACCAGATTCCGCATTCCCATCTCGGCAGAAGGAACAGAAGATTCCTCCTGTTAATAAAACAGTCACTTAATGAGACATCAATATTCTACGATATGGCTCCCCGAGCTGAGGAAATCAAAGCCAAGTCTGAACTATTAATACAACAAAAATCCATATTGACTTTTTCTTCTTTACACATCTCTGTCATCATTCCCAAGCCAGAGACTCTGGGAACGGCACGATTACTCATGTGGCATTGAATGAGCAGAGCATTCAAATCCCTCCCTGGGCCTGCCCCTGAAAATGCTTCCAGTTCCCACTACAACAACATCCTTTTGTAGCCATCTGAAGCCCATTCTCCTTCGCAAGAATGAGGGAAGTGATGAGGGCTGCCACCCCGGAAGTCAGCTCCAGCCTGAGAACCGAGGGCAGAAGCTCCGCGCCTTTGCTTCCCAATGGAAGCCAAACCTGCAGGCCCTCTGGTGTTTCCTCCCCTTCTTCCTGTTTTACGTTTTGATATTTTCTCTTACCTGTATGCTTCCTTGAGTCACTCATTTCGTTAATATTTACTGAGCATCTACTATTTGCCGCACATGCACGGGTTCTCATGAGGCTTATGTTTTCGTGGGTAATATGTGCGTGTGAGCAAACAAGGTAACTGCAAATACTTTTAAGTGCTCTGAGGAAAGAAACCTAAAATGATGAGACGGAGCGGGGAGAGCAGAGGGGGGGGGGGGGGGGTTTTGTAATTTGACAAGATGGCTAAGAACTTTCTGAGGAGTCCAGGTCTGAACTGAGAACTGAAATAGTAAAAGGGCGACCCCCTTGCTGGGAGCTAAGAGGCTTCCAGAACCTTCCTGACAGAGGAAACGGAAACAGCCAGTGCACAGGCTGACAGGGGTGAACTGGGCCCTGGGAAGGCAGCACTTGGCCTCCCTGCCAGGTCCCCGATGGCTGCCAGCCCTGCGATCTCACAGAGGAGACGCTCAACACTCTTATTGAGAAAGTCAGCGGACGGCTTTGCAGGTCATTGTGTTTTGCAGGTCTCCCCTGGGCTGTCACTCCGAAGCTACGGCAGAACCTGCAGCCCAGGCGCCTGCCACCCTCCTGCTGCCCAGGAGAGCCTCCCTACATATGACAGCTCCCTGGAGGCCATGGTGGGTAAGGAGGAAAGACGCCAGGATTGTGCCAGGACACAGCTGATGAACTGAAGGGTGACCATACTGAAATTTGGGGATCTGAGGGCTCGAGGGAGTCCACTGCTGGGGGTCCCATGGGGGATCTACTTCCATTATCTGCCAGGGCCACTCAACTGCCACCGCTCGTGGAGCGAGTCCTCTCTGGCTGAAGAACAGGTACCTGTTTTGAAGTTTCCAGAACTCCTTCCACTGTGTTTGTTTAAAAAATAAAGGAAGACTAGTCTGAGGAAGGAAGACCTAATCTATCATTTACTATGTAATCTATCATTTACAATCATGCTTCTCAAACTCCCAAACTCAGAAGCTACACTCTGGACCGGAATGTCAAGAAGGAGTCTGATCAATGGCGTGTGCAAGGGGACGGCTGGGGAAAGGAGCTCAGAATACACAACGTGTTGCCCACGCACCAGCTTTCTCTGCACCGCCGAGGCTGCTCACACTCCACTCCAAGACCAACCTCAAACACAAATGCGCAGACAGAAGCAGTTCTGGCAACGGTGCCTTGTTCCCTAGGGGGCCTGTCATAGGATCTGCTTCGCAGCTCTGCGAGGTCTGCTTCAAAGACACAACAAACTGAAACCGAGAAGCCATGGACACTTCCTACAATGAAAACCTCCACGGGGTCTTTACGCTACTGCGATGAGGTTTGCTCTTGTTACCTGCTGTGTGACACAGGAGCAGCTTGATCCAAAATGTCACCTGTTCCAACTAAACACTGACAACTGGTTTTAATTTCCCTTAAAAAGGGGGCGGGAAGGGGGACTTGTTAAATTCTGCAGAGTTGGCTAATGTCTAAAGACAATCCTCCCAGGAGGTGCAAGACATTTTACCACAGCGTGGAGATAAGGGGAGATTTATTATGATTACTAATGCTATTTCCGTCGATGCCTTTGAAATTCTACTTAGATTATTAAACCTTTGAAAATCATTACATTACATCCAGACTCCGCCCCTCCCTGCGACAAGGGTACTTTTGAAATTAGAGGATCCTGATGTCCCAGGTAATGATGTATTACCGATAATAAAGTTGCAAGAAAATCTCTCCAATAAAAACCAGTTGGGAAAGACAGAACACATTCATCTTACTTTCTCTCCCAGTTTTATGCCCCAGGATAAGACATCTGCAGCACAGAACTATGGCAGGGTTCTCTCCATTCGAGGAGCTGATGGTGTCTGCTCCCATGCGGCCAAGTTTAATGGCTTGTCACAGCTGCTTAAATTTTCCGCCTCAATCTGAGAGGCAAATCAAAAAATTTATAAATTAAAAGATACTTGAAAGAAGACTATTTTTTGAAGACATATGAGACAAGTGGCGGGTTCAAAGCCTAGGAATGGTAGGTACATCTCAGGGCATTTTGATTTATGACACAGGCATTCGGAGTGGTACCTGAAAAGAAATAAATTGCTTACTGTTAACCCAGATCCATTTGTAGGTAATAAATGGGCGTGCTCCTTACCCATCAAATAATGGCTCTAATGCCCTTCAACATCGGGGGATGAGGAATGAGTGTCACCCTCTGTCCTCTGCAAGATAACCCATTTCTGCGGGAAGATCTTAGCCCTTCACCTCCCAGCAAAGGGAAGTGTGCGTGCCTTACTTACCATGATGGACGACGCCCTTCAGCCCATGGATAATAGGATCCAGCGCGGAATTGTCCCTTGGACTGACCTACATGGGAAGGAAACATGATTGGTTAAATCTATTCTGGCATCAGACACAACAGTCTCAGTTTAATCTTCTAAAGAGAAGGAGGGGGAAATAGATGTTATCTAGCAAGCTGCTTAGGTCTCACATATACCCTGGCTCTTGCCAAACATAGATTTATGGCATAATAAAATCAAGTGAGGAAGTCTAAATCAAAAGAAAGAAACTTCTCAGAATACACGAGAACAGGAGAGAAATGCCATGGTCCTAGCAAAATTTAAAAAAAAGCAACAGCAAAACTTTGTCCTCCTCTTTTGTTTTATTAAAAATAGATGGACTCTGATCGGCTAAAGTCATTGAAAGTCATCAGAGAGCAATCCATCATTGATGAATACTCCAATGCCTTATTGTGATTGTGTTTATTTCTTTTCTTTTAAGAAAATGATCTGTTCCCCGCCAGCTTACTCTCCTTCTAAGAACCATGGTCTCCTGTGTCACGTACTACAAAGGGCATTTCTAAGAGTCACTCCGAGCAAGAGAGGTGAGAGGAGAGGAGAGGACAGAAGCTTTCGGAGACAGTGTCTGACCTCGTCTTCCTTTCCTTCTGCGGTTTTTCATCTCTCCACAAGCCAAACCTCTTGATCTTGACCCTCACCCACTCTTTCCCTTAACTTTCTGATACTACTCAGCACGAATTCTCATTCTTGCCCTTTCTAGAAGATTAAAATTCCACCAGCATATTATAATTTTGGGTTTTAGGTATTTTCTTGAAGACACATTGAATATTTAACCAGTGAAATGAAATGACTGGAATTTACTTCAAAATAATGCAGGAGTGAATAGTAGGGGAAGTGAGCAGAATACAGATATAACAAGACTGGCCACCCATCAATCATTTATGACCTTGGGTGATGAGTATTGGATGGATCATGATACAATTTTCTCTACTTTTGTGTATGTTTAACTTCTCCCAAATAAAGAGTTTTTTCAAATCCATTATCTGTGGCAAGCATAGCTTCTGATTTTTTTTTTCCCCCCAGGAAAAATCTGTACTTTTAATCCACCTTTAACATAATGAAGTGGAGATATTGATGAATTTTTCAATGTGCAGCAACTTGATATTTCCTAGCCACCTGGAGAAATCCAGGGCCATCTTAGGTTAAATTTTAAGGTAACTGAAAAGTGTCTACTCTCCTTCCCCACTTACAGCCTCCCTGCTGGGCTGCTGCTCCCGGGATGCTTTCTGATAATAACCTGTACTTCACAGGATTCTTTTTTTCTTCTGCTTCAGCATCTCCAGGTTAGAGCAGTGGTTCTCAACTGAAGGCACTCTTATCTGGGTAGAAGCAGGGCTGCTGCTAAACATCCCATAATGCTGAGAAGGGACCCCCCCTTTCACCCCAAGAGAGGTATTCAAGATGACAGTGCGGAAGTTGGGGGAGGAACCAGGTTAGATGTCCTATGAATTAACAGTGATTATTAATGTCTGGATCGTTGGGTGTCATTATGTATGGTGTTATGTTTATAGGCTAATAAAATGATGTGGTATTTGGTCCTACATAGTAAATCTCTCTCGGAAACTGGGCTTGATCACAGTCACATTAGCAAACATTAGGAGGAGGTTTCTATAGGACTTAAGTGAAGGGGTTTATACTCTCTTGTCACTCTTTGAAATCCTGAGACCGCCAGGTGAACAATCCCAGGCTAGTCTACTGGAGGATGAGAGACCACATGGAGCAGACACAGGCAGACTCAGCCGAGGTTGTTCTAGACCCACCAGTTCATCTGAGACCACCCAGCCTCAGAGGAACTTCAGTCTTCAGAGACCCGTCAAGCTGACCCCAACAGGAAGACCTGACCAGCCAAGTGGGAAATAGAGTAATTACGTAATTATTGTTTTAATTATTTGGATCATTTGTTACAGTGCAAAACTTAGTTGTTAAGAGTTTCTATGAGTGTGTAGAGATAGAGGATAGGGAACAGGCTAAGATATCAATAATTTTTGTAACCAATACACTTTGTTTATGGTTTGTCCTCCAGGTTTCTCAGTGGAATTCAATGTCACAAGACACAGCATCTGCTGTCAACCTGATCAACTCATGTGCTTCTCTAAAACTGAGTTACCCCTCACCCCCTTCCAATGGGAACATTTCAAAGACACTCTGATTTCCCATCCCTTCTGCAGGGGAATATTTTTTATTTATGGGGACCCTTAAGTGCATTCAGTCTTATATGATAATGTGAAAGCTCAAAAATAGTGTTCCCAATCCTCCATGACTACACCCACCGATCACATCTGTAGCCCATGCAAGATGGAAATAACCAGACCACCGAATCCAAGTTCAATTTCTGGTCACTTCTGTCTACAGTATCCCTGTGCCTGTACTCAGGCCTGGTCTCATTCAAGCTCAAGGGCTTGACCCCAGATTCAAAACAAGCCCATAAATGGAATGCCTCCTGCAATGCCCATTCACCTCTACTGTCTCCATTGCTAATTTATGTGGCTGGGGTTGAGCAAATGGGTGAAGAAAATGGAGTTTATTGGCCGGTCAAAGTAACTTAGTAATAATACTAAGCTCATTTTCTAGTTGATGTCTTTGTTGCAACACTCAGGGTGAGGATCCAAATAGCATGCTCACAAGTGGATTTGTGCCAGTAAGGCACGGCCCTGAGAGTAATTGTGTAAAGCCCGGGACATAAAGCTGAGTACAGATGCAACATTCAATAGGGGTAGATATGATTGGGAAACAACTTGACTCAAACACTCAAATTTGATTCATTGTCAAACAACAGCAATTTTATCCCTGGACTTCTCAGTGCACTTAGCTCTAGAAGTAGTATCTACTTGAGTTGAAATAATAATAATAAAAAATTCTAAAGTTATTTTTTATTTGATATCCGCTCAATTATCCTATTATGCTACTCCTTTTCAAGCCACATGAGAGGCGTGTTCTGGCTCTTGAAATTTGCTTCCTCCCACTTTAAGATCAAAGGAGTTATGTAGCAATGCCGAGGAGGCAGCGATTGCACAAATGAGCTTCGGATGGACGAGGAGAAATGGACACCCCTTTCCCGGCAGCGGTGCTCTCAATGCAAAACTCCCATTTCAGCGCAGCTTCCATGACACTTGTCACCTTCAAAAAGGACGGCACACAAATGCAACCTAGGGCTTGAGTTAAAGCTTTAAGTATGTTTAGATAGAACCAAAATCCACATGGACATCAGCCATACAGGAAACCATGACATGCAGGTTTGGTTAAAAAAAAAAAAAAAAAAAAAAAAAAAAAAAAAAAAAAAGTCAAGTGGATATAAATGCTGATGAAATCTAAACTTTATAAAATTTTCTCTCCAAATAATAGCTGACCAGAAAGGTTCAACCAACTATCACATTAATAACCAAGATACCAATAATCTCTGAAGACGTGTCTATAATCCAGGCTCTAGAGGGCCTGTGTTGATTCATGCTTGAAGCAAAATGAAAGGGAGGCCAAGAGCCCTCTCAGACTGCACGTGCCTGGGCTCAGATACGCACTGCCATTTACTCTTCCTGCCCACTGTGCCATTGGCCCTTGACTGGGATCCTAATAATCTTCAATCTATCAAGTCCTGGCCATCTGCTAAATAGGGCGTCCAAGACAACCTACTTGCCTTGAATCCAACATCGCCAGCTGCTCCTATGGTCCCATAAACGTCACATCCTGCCAAGCTCCTCTTGTGGGAGGAAGGATTTATGCCTGCTGCGGGTGATGGCTGCACCATTAGCCCTGGCTGCAGAGGAGAGGGGCAAACAGCAGGACCGGAGACGCTGCACGGCCTTCCAGAACCGCAGAGCCGATGATCTGTCCTTGCTGATGGTGAGCAGGTCACTGTGCTTTTAGAAGCTAAGTGTCTGATCAGGACACGGACCAGCACTTCTCATCAGATCGGATTTCAGATCTGATTCTCCTCTCCTGAACATGCTCCTCCCTCAAGAGCTACGTGGCTGGGATGCTGCATCCTCTCCCATTCTCACTTTAACACCTTGGCCACCATTCACCAGACCTGGGTGTCAAGTCGCTGTCACGAATTTCCTAGCACAAACCATTTACAACGTGGCTATGTTCACACCCCTGCATTTCAGTCAGACCTTACTTGAGACAGAGCACAGATTCCTTTGTTCATAAATTAGACACTTGTCAATCATTTAGGAAAAGTGCCTATGTACAAGAAGGCAATAATAGCATAAACCACCAACCCCTGACCTATACTGACTGCATTGTTCTTTTCCTAATTTCCTTAAAAAAAAAAAATACTCACAAATATAATTTTCCTCCTTGTCTCACTATTTCTGAAGCATAAGTTTCTTTTTGTCTTTTTGTCCAACAAAATTTTCTCTTCTCTCCTGACATAAAGCGGAATCAGAGGGGTTGGGGCATTGAGCATCATAAAATGCCCAGAATAAACTCAGAGAAGAGCGAGGTATGCCTAGATTGGGCGTGGCCCGGGGAAGCTGGGCAGTCTCAGGAAATGAAGGACTGAGGTCTTCCAATAAGCTGAAGGCAAGCAACCAAGTGTGGACTCCTGGCCGGGAGGCTTGGTCTAACTTCCACTAACGGAGTTCCAGCACACGCTTTCAGCCTGGTCCACAGATATGCAAAGCAAGCCAGAGGCAGCTCACAGGAGATGGAGAGCCTGTCAGAGGACAGGGGATGGTGATCCTCATCCATCCCAGGCACTTGACACACACTCTCCGGGGCTGGTTTCCACCCACAGACGAGAAAACTCCAAATTCCTCAGCCACGGGACTCGATTCTTATGAAAAGGCAACACGATTATAACTGCTAATAGCATTCATCCTTCCCCCCTTCCCATGGAGCTTGAGCATGGACACGCTTACTGACAATTAACTAATGATATCATGAGTGGGAACCAGTTAATGCACAAGTTACTCATCTCGAGAGAATCCAGATTTGTGGTCAGAGAAGACCACAGAGGAAATGGATGTAATGCTCCTGGTCTACCTAAAACGACCATTCTCTAGCCCT